TAATATTCATACATTACCACCATCTTAAACATGGAAACATTTCTTGGAGACTATAGACAACAGATCAACTTCAGCTGCAAATGTCACTACGGCATAATTTAATGTATTTGACAAATGCATTTCTGTCACAGAATGAGTTTCCTTCTGCCCAAAACTTTACCTCAAGCAAACAAAAATAGTTATGCAGTTGCAAATTTGCAATTTCCATTCAGTTCTTTTTGTAATCCATCATAATTTTCATAGAAGCCTTAACTCGCAACCTTTTCCCTGTATTACTCTTCATCTCTGTTTGAATCCATCTCCCTCTCTTCCCTCCCGGCTCACCAGACAGTAGAATCGGCCTTCCAGCAGTGAAGACGGGGTGAAAAGCTACAGCGGTTCAGATATGTTAAAGCCCAGTTTGCGCTTTCAGATAAATATTATATGACATCTCCTGGTTGAAGAGACGCCGTCTTCACTCTGTGACCTCGGCTCGAGACGATACAGTTTACTTAACCTTTTCGTGCCCAAGGAGGATTCGCTGAGCCAACATGATTCGCTACCAAATACCCAACCTCCTCTCCTACTGTCTGCCACTGAGCTGTTAAACCTACATCATAAAGTGAGAGAAACAAAAGACATACAGAACCAACATACAGAGCCTTTTAATGTCATTATAACAGCTAGTTCAGCTTTGAATACTAAAAACATACAGCCTAAATGTCTGTGTGTACATGGTAATGGTTTGTTTTGGTCATATACCGCAGAAAATCTAACACAGAGAACATCAATTACGTTTCCATTTCAGCCTCAATGGAGGTTATTTTCATTCTGAGCAGCTATAACTACTCTTTGTAAAAGCTATTCGGCTCTCAGACGTAATCATAAGTTTCACTCAGTGCTATTATTTCTCCACATACAGCAATAACAGTTATCCACATCATTCAGCTTCAACCAAATCTACTAAATTAATGAAATCATATCCACAAGGGCCCTCTGCTGCCCACTCTTTGGCTGTTTGTTTGGCCGTGTTGTATCTCCACCTCTTTTAAATTTGTAGCTTTTGTGAATTAAACCAACCCCCCCCCGAGCGATGAATGCACAATAAGAGGACTGGGGCTGTTTGAGCACTTTGCATCGAATTGCCCACCTTTGTCTGCAGTAGAAATCTGTGAGCCGGCCTCTAATGGACTGGTGGAGGAAGGAGTTGGACGGGAAGCAAAGGAAAGGAAGGATGGAGGAGTCCTAACTCCAGTGACGTTAGTAAAGCGATGGTCGTGTGGTGACAGAATCGAATGCTGGAAAGAAATAGAGGAAAGAGGAAATGAATGGAGAGGAGTGGATAATAGAAGAGGAAGACGAATTAAATCTCATATTGAGATATCAATTTGATAGAAGGGAAACAAAAACAGAGGGGAGGGAAGAGGAAGAGCAGAGGACAGACGAGAATGTCGGTGGAGACGGATGGATGGATTGATAGATGGAGGGGACATTTGAAGGGTAAAGACACTGATAGGTAATGAAAAGATCTACCTCTTTGGCGTGTGGAAGTAGTAAGAACGTTCCGATTTCATTTACTATCTGCAGCTTGTTGTCCTCCTCTTGTCTTGCAGGATCTTCTTTGTTACCGTGTTGTCAGCTACAGACATATTTCTTCTGATGATGTCGCTTGTAATTAAAAACTCATCTTTTGAATGTAGCTGGATTGGAAAACCCAGAGTTTCAAGCGAGACAAAGTGCAATTCGCCTCTCAAGGTCTATGGTTCTAGCTTTTTTCCTTGGATCCTCTCACACTGGCCACCTTCAAATGAATGCTTTGTTTAATTAATAATTAATTGTACCTATATACCTTTTTCTTTTCAACAATCAAAAAACCAACATTAAAAAGATCTAAGGTTCATGGACATCGTGAAATACCAGCCAATGATGGATTATCATTATTGATTATAACATACTGTGTGTACTCACATATGTGCACGTATGTGTGTACACTTGCTTTTTATTGCACTTGCACTTACATGCACATACACTATCCCCAGTACATATGGTGTGTGTTTGAGTGTTTTAACACAATAAAGCACACACAGCGGACAGTCTGACCTTAACCCGACTCCCCAGCGGGTCCTGAGGAAAATTTCACCGCACCACCCCCAGTCCCACCAGCTGAGTGCTAATTTGTCATCTTCAGGTTTGCTGCCACCACACAGCGCTGCAGGGCAATTAGGACCACTGTATGAGTCTGCTGCAGAGCGACGGGACCCGCCACCCCTCGGTTCACAAACACGAGAGGGAGCCACACGGTCCTTAAAGCCAGAGTGATTTACTGTGGTTCCTCAGAAATGATCTCCTTTGGCTCCATAAAGAGGCAGTAATTCAGGATTTTATTGCCACATAACACTAAATGGCCACAATATATCTGTGAGGGTTGATAGGGTTGGTAATCAGTTGCAATGATTGAACTATTAATATTTAATGACCTTACTGGCTTCCAAAAGTAACTTTCAGTCCTGTAATGTTCTCAAACTAAAACTTCTACACTGAAGTCAGCGAGGGAACCTAAAAACACTCTAAATACTAACTGGCATTCCCAGAAAAGCACTAGCTGAATCAGATTGAGGAATTTACAGTTTAATTATCAAATGAACAACTTTAGTGAGGCAAACACTGTGAGGTTTGTAAAAGTGATTAACGTCTCAAGACCATGGCCTTGTTTTTATATCTTTATTCTTATCTTTATTTTAAAAAGTACTTTATTTTTGTGTGATTTTTATGTAGCAAGACAAATTCCTTGTACGTATAAAAACTTACTTGGCAATAAACCCGACTCTGATTCTGAAATGTCTGCTGGCACTGAAAGATCTTTAATAAAGGAGGAACAACATGGCAATAGTTGTAGTGTAGTGTGATATGTGTAAAGCAGTACAGTTCACTTTGATAAGCATTCTACCTCATTATAGATTCAAGCTTGTTTGCAGTCGATCACATTCAGTGACCCGTTGAAGCAGTAACCACTGAATATACATGTTGTCAAGAAGCTACACAACCATCTGCATAACTCTATTTTCCTAGATTTATTTATTTCTTTTGGGTACAGTGCTAAAAATAAACACCTTTTCATTGTTTATACCCTTACCTTTCCTCAAATAATCTCCTCAGTGGTGAAACTTATTTAGCCCTTATTCTGGCCCTGGCTAAAGAAAGGCGCTGGATGGTAAACCGGGCCTCCAGGCTCTCCTCTCACCAGCGCCTCAGAGGCAGATCAATACCCAGATGAAGTTTTCTCTCTGCTGGAGAATCCATAATTCATACACGCTAAGGTGGTCCTGTATTTACTATCGATCAGACGGAGGTAACAGCAGCAATATCGATAGGCCAGAGGGAGTCGCTTTCACGTCTAGAGAGCAGCTTCTGTCACAGATAAAGAGGTGAGCCCGTTTTAGGAGCAGAGACAGAGAAAGTGCAGATAGATGCTGTTGTACAAGGCATTTAACCCCAAATCATCCAGTCAACCTCAACTACGGATAGTTTTGTTTTTGTAATGTACATATTATTGACTTTTGTTAAAGAAAATTTACATTTTTTTTTTTTTAAACTTCCTGTGATTTATGAAAAGAGACCATAAGACCATCACATATATTTGTTTGGCAACTTGATTATTTTCTTCATCAATTAACATCTACAAAATGAAAGAACATCATATTTCCCAGAGTGACATTTTCAAAGTTTACCAAGCGTCTTAAACCAGTTCAGTTTACAATAAAAACAGTGAAATGTGTGGCATGTTATGTCTTTAAATTAGGCCTACTAAAAATGCAAGTGGTTCACTTTCAATGAAATGAAGGCTCACCAGTGAGGATTGCATACTTGCCAGTAAAATGCCATATCAGGCTCTAAAGAGAAACACATAGTTTTGAGTAAATGGCGGCAGATAGACAAAGTTTACGAGCGGAAGCACAAGGGAGCATTTACATTATCCTGGAGGTTAGACGTTAGAGGTTAGGCGTTATAAGAAACTATGCAGCTGCATTGTGTCGTTTGTCACAAGTTTTAGAGCAAGGCGGATCAAACAGGGTTGTTTTTCACAAGCTGGAGTGCCATAACAACAGCCGACAGCATCTCGCTTGCATGGCAGCTAAGAGGGTCTTTGCTGTTTTTTAATAACCGCCATACAAACTATTTGCATAGGGGCAAATAAAAAATTTACTTTAGGCAAGTGCAAATAATTGGCTAATTATTTCATCACTTGTCCACATCACCTCACTCCCCGTCTCTTTCATGTTGAAAATGACTTTTCCACTGGAAAACTCTACTACTATATACAGTGGAAGAACAGCGCCCTCTTCCTGTTAGGTAACATAAAGTGATTCAGCAGATTTCCCTTCAAATCCAATGTTGAACTCAGTGTAGTTAATAGCGTAGACTATGTTCAAATACAACACAAACACGTACATGAATCTATGAATAATGAGTCCGAATTATTTTAAAAGTGAGGGTGAATACCTGGATGAGGAGGCACAGGTAGTGCTGACAGATGGCCGACAGCAGATGGAAGAATGTGTCTTCCTCTGTCTCTGTGGTTCTTTGAAGATTTTCCAGCTGGCTCTTTGTCTTCTGTCTTGTTTTCCAAGATGCCTCAAGGATCTTCAAGGGAACCCCATTGCCACATAATCCTCAGAACTGCCACCGCGCATTGTTTTCATAGTGGAATATGACAGACGCATGTGGGTGTCAATGTACCTGTGGTGTATTGTCATGTGTTTTTATTCCTATAGCTCGTATAAAATTAGTTTTGTGCAACAAAGTCTAGACAAGGAATCAGTTGGTGATTACCTTTAAGTATCTAAAATCTGGACGGTAAAATTGAGGCAGATGTTCCTCATCCTCAAGCAGCAACAACTGTGACTGTTTTGATGACAAAGATGTACAGATATTTAATATTTCCCCCAGCAATTGTTGTCAGGCTGGAAGAGTCAGTAAAACAGCACTGTGTTTACCTCCAGTATCTCTTATTTTTTATGCAGGGGCCACCAAAGACATGGGTAAGATGTTGGGTGGGGAGGAGGAGAAGGACCCGGATGCAGCCAAGAAAGAGGAGGAGCGGCAGGAGGCACTGAGGCAGCAAGAAGATGAGAGGAAGGCCAAGCACGCCCGCATGGAGGCAGAGAGGGAAAAAGTACGGCAGACCATCAGGGACAAGGTAGGAAACTCTCCTGTGGTTTAACCCAGAGCTTCCTGTAATCTAAGGAGGTCAAAACTCAAGCAACACTTCACAACTCTGTTGTCAGACCAATGCATTTCACCAGCCGACCAGACTCCACTACCTAGCAGATAATCATAAACTAACGTATACATAACTGTTAGAGTTAGATGAGGAAATATGTATATCCAATAAAATTGCTTGTTTTTGCCACTGACAGACTCAAATTGTTATTCTATGTGTCTGACAACATTATGGAAAGCATGCCTACAGAGATAGATCAGCCGTTACACAACTATCACTCACCACCAGACTCCACAGACAAAAACAGTAATTTTACCTTGCATATCATAACATTGTAACTTCAATTGGACAGAAACAAGCCTGCACTACATGAAGTGCAGCTGAAAACTATCCCTAATGATTTTCTTTCTCTCTTCCCCTGCATATCCTCTCTTGTTCTCTCTCTGTTCAGTATGGGCTGAAGAAGAAGGAGGAGAAAGAGGCGGAGGAGAAAGCGGCCATGGAGCAGGCCTGCGAGGGGTCGCTGACACGCCCGAAGAAGGCGATCCCACGGGGATGCGGGGACGATGACGAAGAGGACGAGGAGAGCATTCTCGACACTGTCCTCAAGTTTCTTCCCGGACCTCTACAGGACATGTTCAAGAAGTAAAAGAAAAAAGCAAAACAAATCAAACAAACCCTAAATTCAGGGTCCAGTCTGGCTTGGGCTAGGCTGCGGGGCAACGGGAGGCAGGGGTGATTGCGTCGGGGACTTTGGGCAACGGGAGGCGGGGATGATTGCGTTGGGGACTTTGGGTGTATAGGGTTGAGTGAACTTGCAGGTTTGGGGAAAAGAGAGACTGGGGTGATTGGTTCGGGTATTTTTACGCAGGCAGGGTTTGAGTGTAGATTCGGGGCACGTAGGATTTGGGAGGGGGGTTCTTGCCAAACTGTTAGAGGCTACACACTGCCTTTCTAGAAATCTTTTACTTTGTTCTTTTCTACTCCTCGACGATTGCGTCATTCTTCCCCTTTTTATTTGCCACGATTGCTGTACAACCTTTCAGCTGCCACTTAGCACATTTCTTACTATTAGTACGTTTTGTGTCCTTTACCTGTTGTTATTTTTACACAGATTGAGGCCAGACATTTCGATTGGTTGGCCATCATCTGTTGCCAAGCAATGGTGACCAATGGAGAACAGTATTCCCTTAAAGAAGGGCAGCGGACACCTCTGTCCTCTCGCTTTTGTGGTTTTTCAAAAGGCACTGCCACCATGTTTTCCAGTAGATGGAGCATGTTGTGTTTATTTTAATAGGTGTTTTCTACTTTTATGAACCTGGTGTAGGTCTTTATATTGAAAAAAAAAAGAAAATCAGCATTTGAGTTTTTAGGACATGTGCCTTCATATCATCTCCTCCAGCAGAGGAATTGTAAATGAGGGTTTCATTTTCAGTCAGACAAGTGTACAGCATGTAAACACGCGTTCAAAGTATGTACTTCTGGAAATTGTGTGAAGGTCCAACAGTTCACAAAACTATCCAAAAGGTAATCTTACTTTTACAAAAGCTACACTTTCTAAGCCTGTCAGCTAGTTAGACCGAAAAGTAAAATTTACGATCTAGAACGTGTCAAGAACTCATGTCTGTATATGAATTTTAAATCAAATGGATTTTGGAATACATTTTACTGAGCTCAAGCTATCATCCCTGCAGGCAAACAAGACTCATTTGACCTTGTTTGAAACCCATTTGAAATTACTGCTGTTTTGTCAAGAAATTACAGATTTACAAATTAAACTTCATGATTTTAGGTTGTGTGGTCCCCATAGACAATCAGAGTATTGACCACTTGGAAACAGTGGGGGTAGCCGGTACTGTACATGTTGTCATTTCCTGTCATAGCATCTATGATTGCTTAAAAGTGGGTTCTACATTAAGCACTTCATTAACTGATTGCTATTAAGTGTCTCTTAATTTAAACTATTTATTTTTTCTTCTTCATACATGAATGCAAATACCAGGCAATGTCTGGATTTTATTTTATTTTTACTTAACTACTTTTTGTGAATGTGCTGCCAATTTATTTTAATGCAACCGAAATTGTGATTGAATTCACATTCCAGCTGAGCTAACCTTTCCACTCACCATTTAATGCAAAAGTTCACCTTGATCGAAGTTCATCAACATCGAGACCAAAGAAATACTGGTGAGACCTTACGATTTCTTTTGTCAAAGCCGAGACAAAGACCTGCATGTCGAACCTGGTTTTTATCATGCGTGCGAGGCCTGCAGGAGAATCGCAACAGCCCGTTCAGTGTGTGCATGCATCCCAAAGACCACCACTAAACTAAAATGATACTCTCCTATTTCCTCTAAAGTATTACATGGCTAAATGAAACTAGATCATTTAACTGTAGACTGAGCCTGAGAAAACCGGTCTGTGAGTCATCGCATCTCACTACCTGAAGAGCTCACTTAGAGCCAAGTATATTCTGCATCCTGCATCTCTTAATCCAATGAAATATCATAGTGATTTGTCATATAGCATTTAAGTAGATGTGCTGTAAATGGAAACAATCTCTATTTAGTGAAACTACCTTAATATATAGACATTTATCAGTAAAACAAAGCATGTTGGTTATTCCTAAATGATCTGGTGGCTTTTCAGTGGTTAGTTATGCGACGATGTATGATTAATACATTGTTCCACAAGTTTGTAACTTAAAATAACATTACGGTTTGATAAGACTATTGATGGAGTTGTCATAAGCACTATAAAAAGCATTTTCCTTTTTCTTTTCATTTTCTAGCTCAGATAGGACTTTTCACTAGACAAAGCCATATTGTTTAGATTGCAATAATTACTTAAAATTATTAAAAAAGAGAATATTTCAACATCGAAAGTTAAGTGTCTCATGTTTGTTTTCTGTAAAATTAGAGAAAAGATATTTGCATATCTGTTTGTAAATCCTCGCCATTCTTGTATCTTTAAAGATGTATACTAATGTATACACAGAGAAAATGTATGTAGAAAAAAGAAGCCATTGTTATAACTGTCTCAGTGTACTACATGTGTACTGTAAGTGTGTGTGTGTTTATATGTGTGTGTCTTTCTACATGTCTGTGACGTGAGACCATGTTGTTGACTCATATAGTCCTGGTTTATACTACGTAAATGTGTCTTTGAACTATTTTGTGCACAGGCTGAAGCTATGGCGGCTCCCTAGTTGTTGCCATGTCTAAAGAAAAAAAAATACTTAACACATTCCTTTCTAATGTTGAGCATGCAAAATGTTTGGTAGAAAAGAGAATACACCAAATATCAAAACACAAAAAAATAGACAATGTCCTGTTTCTGTAGGAGTCTCCAGGCAACAGAATCTGTGCATTGGATCCAGAAAGGTCAGCTGTGCGATGGGCTTGTTGAGTGTTCGATGTTCTTTGTTGTCTAAGATTTGGTGAAGCTTGAGGCCGTGATTACACAGGAGCTTTAGCTGAGACACAGCGCTTGTCTGTGAGTGTTACTACAAAAAAAGCTGTGTCCCAGTTTTGCACTATAAGCTTGTAGTTGCAGTAGTAGTGCGGCATCACATTGGAAATGTGGCAAAATTAAGCATACTCAGAGATGTCATACTGAGTTTGCTTGCTTTATGAGTTGTTGAAGGTATTCAATCTTCAGACAAATAATTTGCTTTCTTGTTAACTTTTCAAATTTAAACCAGACATTGGTGCACAGAAGTCACAGTTTGGTTAATGTCTGTTGTTACACAAAACATTTAGATGATTCCTTACCAAATTAGTATGGTCAAATACTGTATGCTTTATTATTGCAAGGATGTTCACAAGGCCGGGCTAAATTTGCCCGAGCAACAGCCCGTTTGCCCCCCTCTGGAAAAGAAAAGGAAGGGAAAATAATGTTTTTGGCTGTTGGGGCTGCATAAATACAAGTTAGACCAGGTTAAAGCACCATATTATCCAAACTTGTATTACTTTTTGACACTTACGCATCATGTCGCGCAATATTTTTTATATTATGTCGTCACATGAACCTAGCTAGCTAGCTGGCTAATATGTTGGCAGCAGTCTACATGCAATATTGTGCGACATGACGCAAACGTGACAAGCTGAGAAAGAAGCTCAGTCATCACAGTATATGGTCAGCCTATTTCCATGACCACTCATTCCAGTTTGTACACTTTTTTGTCTCCCTTCAGTGAAATACGATTGAGACGTATTTAGCCCCATGTTGGTTAAGACTAATTTGCCAGACGAATGTGATTTGAACTTGAACTTGTGCCAGCTGGGCTAGAAATCATCCTGTGTGCTCACGGCCTGAAGACATCAACTCTGAGATTAATTGAAGGCTTTTTAAAAAGACAATGGGGGACGTGCAATTAGAAAAAAAAAAAATAGATACTGTAACTAAATGATTTGCTTTTTGATAAGCTGTAGTACTAAAAAATCTATTTTGATTTAAATGTAAAATACATCATGCAAATTGTCATGTCTCTATATAAGAGACCAACCTGCGGAGAGATTTATTTTAATGCAGCCGCTTTGCTCATTATCATAAACCAACCAACCATGTTGGAATAATGCATGAGCGTCAGCCACATAAATTTAAATGGTTGCAGTTTTTAGTGCAGCGTGCGTTGTTTGAGTCGTCTGAGGAGAATCACCATGATTTATTTCATTTATTGCATTAACACAGGGATTCCCACAATTCCTCCTGCCAGGTGCCAGGACAGTTTCACCTACAGCACGTGGATTAAGTTTATTAAAGCCTTGTATCTCCCTGGTGGATGGGGAAAAGGGGACATAAATCCTGGACTATAGGCTTAATTTACGTGCCCCTTCATGGAAATACAGCCATACATCCTCTGTATGTAAAATAGTCTCTCAGCGGGACTCGTCTCGAGGCGTCACAGCATGTGAACTGCCTTTGAAAAGGGCTATTACCATGTCATCTGTATGTGAGGTTTGTGGTAACTCATCTGTCGCACATCTGTGCTTGTCCTGGCGTGAAGTGTTGTTTTAATTCATCGTGGTTGCATGAGATACTTCAGTGTGGAAAATTGTGTTTGTGGAGCCGCTATGGCTTTTCAGTTTAGATAAATCCTTGGGTTGATAGACACTAGTGTAAAAGCAAGGAGTTGTTGCTCTAGGGGTTAAGTGTTAGTTTACATGGAATATATAAACTGTATATTTTCCTACACAGACGTAGATGTGGGTGAATGAGAGGGATGAAAACTGTGGAAAAGTGTAGATTTTGACATGAAAGGCCTCAAAGACATTAAACAACTACATCAGATCTTCTCTAAAACATCTTAGCTCAAAGGTTACCCTTGTTTGGATGGTTTTAGGGGAGACTCTCTGGATTATCAAAGCATCTTCTGTTGTCAGGAGCCCAGAAACATTCAGAGAACTGAGAAACAGGCTTGGCTTTAAACTGCCATTCAAAACCACACCTCACCCCCCAAAAAAATATTTTCCATTAGCTTTGGTGATATTTCTCATTACAATCTATCAACACAAGAGAATTTATACCGGCAGCGTGCAACCAACATGTCGTAAATGTTTACTTCTTAAATATAACTTTATGAAACACAATGAGCTACTGAAATGGAGAGAACATTTTAGGATAAAAACCTTCCTTTAAACTTTATCGTTCCATCCAACTCCAAACAAGGCTGGACATTTCGGAACGCCGTAATGATGTCATAACGTTTGTCTTTTTCGTAACATTTTTACGTACACTTACAAATATTATTGTAACTGCCCTGCTGATTCCTGCCAGTAAATCCAGAAGTGAAAGTTTACTTTGCCTCCAGTGGAAGTTGAGATTTTGGTGAGCTCTTGTTAGCTCTGAGCACAACTGTTACTGTGAAGAGAAATACATTCCAGTCTTTTTGGCATTTGCACTAGAATACGTTAAAATGTTACACTAACAATGGTTATGGCATCTAATGAGTCACTATCAACTGCCTGTATTTTTATTTATTTTTTTAACGCCAGCCCTCTAAACGGTAAAGTTGAAAGGTGAGAGGTAAAATTTAATTAGCCACCACCGTAGAGGTAATCCCTTTAGTCCAACACAATTGCCAATGTTCGCAAGTTTGCTGATGATGTGAGCTCTTCACTGTCCAGTGAGGCAGCTGGAGACCCTATGTGGAAGGGCTGGAACTAACACAGACTATGGTAACACTGTTTACCATAGAAACTGGTGACAACAAAATGTGTAAGAAAATGGGGGAATCAATTATAGAAAAAAAAAGATTTAAAAGGGATAAACAATTGAAAAAGGGAACGGATGTTCCTAGAATTGAATCAAGAGGGTCTTTCTTTTTAATTCAGGGTGAAAATAATTTCAGGGTCCAGAGGTTAAGAATGTAAAATATGAGTTCTTATGCTATTTTTTCCTTAATTGCATGTCATATACTCTATGTGGAGCCCAATCACTGTAAACTGTCTGATCGATGGAATTGAATCATTCTTTTTGGAAACTAAATGCATAACACTAATAATAAAAGGTTTATAAAAAGCTACCTGTGTCTTTATTCTGCCTTTACTTCAGTCGTACTTACTCACAAACCACATTGGTTTCATTGATTGCTGAGAGTTCCTCGGGTGTGTATTCTATTACAAGATCTAAAATATCTCAAATTGAGTGTGGACGACAGTTTTCAGCCTTTCTGAAAACAAGTAATGCCGGGCTAATTGGCTTACTGCCTAGGATACATTAAACTCCTTTTTTGTGGGGTTTCAGGCTATATATCCCTATTGCATACTGTTGATACATATAGGGTAGTTGGTAGAAAAAAGATAAAATGATTAAGTTCATTTGTAACCTACGTAGCGAGTTCGAGGTGTAGTGTTAAGCTAACTAAGGGGCAACCCACAACACATTTAAATAGAGTTGTGAAATTTCCCATCTTATTTATTTATCTCCTTCATGATGGGTTTAAGATATCAGATTTTGTTCATAATTTTGGCATGCCACCATCCGGCACAGGTCTAAATACTACGAGATCCATTAGCTTGGGCGGCAGTTGCCATGGAGAAGCTTGAGGCCATTAAGAGGCATGAATTGGCGCAGTTCGTCGTCACAGTTGAGAACAAAACATGGCACCACAGTTGATGAACAAGGGAGAAGGTCCATAGCCATAAAAACAGACAATATATACAAAAACATTGTTAGATGTTACATTGTTCTGTTGTCCTATAGAATTAAATTACATCAATAACTTTTACTGACATTTAGTTTCTCTTTATATTTCGATATTTGGTGTTGAGGTAATCCAAAAGTAACAGAAAGTAAGTTTCATATTGTGATAGTTGGATTTTATTTACTTTAATTACATTTTTAAAGTAACCCACTGGTTTGAGTTACATGCATTGACACTATGTATAAGGTTTCATGTCCAAGCAAGCAGTAGAACGGCTCCACCCACTTTGATTCAAAGCAAAATGGCGCCCACTCACCTGTGATGGGGACAACACATCCATTAAACTCTTAACTGGCGAACCCATAGTCATCGCCAAAGTTTGTGTGGGTTTGACCTCCAACGGAATCACCACCACAACCGCCTGCTGGCTGTAACTGCAGGCTAGTGGGAAACGAATCTAACAAACGCTGCTTTATTTGTGGCAAGAGGGCTTACAGCTGTCCGACTGCCCATTTGATTTATTTTATGTACTGACGAGACACCTGAATGCTTTGTTTCCTCTACCACCAAAACTCTCAGTATAAAGGAAAATATTGTGGGATGTAATGAAAAATTGAATTCTCATCTGGCTGATGAACTTTTGTTTTATTTGTCTAAGTTTCATGTGTAGCCTATTCAATGAATTATTGATTGTAATGAATTAAAATAGCAATATGCTAATTGGGGCTGTAGTTAAAGGTAAAATGTGGGACAAACAGCATTATAATGATGTACTCTATTTCAGTCCCACAAATATGGTTCTCCAGATCTAAGAAAACATTTGTTTAGTACAGAAGAACCCAACGAATGTCACACCATCATGATTTAATTGGATTTTCACTGAAAATGAAAAACGGATTGTTCCCACTAATCGTAAATCACATTGCAATTGTAATATCTGTCAACAATAATCACAATATGGTCATGCAACCCTAATATGAATTAATTAAAAATAAAGTTGATTTATCACCAATTCATCTCTACAAAACCTGTAAAAGTGGGCTATTCGTTTGATGTGGAGAAATACTTTTAAATGGATACAAAAGTGTTGTGAAGAAAGAAAACCTTTTATACACTTACTAATAAAGCTGATTCATGGCTGAGGAAACTAGTATTCCCGCAGTGACTGACCTTTTTAATTAAAGAAATCTCCTCTATAATTAAATAGTTTGCTGCATGTTCCGGGGTATTAATGAAACTCCTATAGTGAACATTAATCACCAAAGGCATGGCCAACAAACATTCACTAATCCCACTAAAAAAACCCAACCATATGCAAAGTGTGTGCATATGTTAGGGGTTGATAATGTATAATCGCAGAGACCCAGGGCCTCTAAGTCACTCTGTAAAGTATACAGTCTACTGCACTTGTTTAAAGGAATATTTCACCAAAAAGCCATCATTTTAGTGTTAATTCTCTGATTTGAAAGGTGGAGCTAAGAAGTTAGTTTTCTTCCGTTGATTCCATTCCAACTGCAACACAGTTTCATGGTGAAAATGAAAATGTCTTTATAGACTTCTCACAGCATAATCAATTCTCTATCTGTATGCTCAGTATTGGCTGATAATTCTGTTTTAACATAAACAAATAGGACATTTTAGTTCAGTTGAAAAAATAGACTTTAAACACAGTGTAAATGAGTTTGCAGGTGATATAAGGCCTTGGTTCGTGGGAAGAAAACTTTACAAGAGAAATCTGTATCTGTGTTTTTCTATAGCGGTAGACGGTAGTAGTGATGGCAGAGTTGTTCATTTCAGTTGCCCAAAAGCTAAAGTGTGATATTAATGAGCTTCTGTGGTTGATCTCAATGCATGAACAATGGTGTGAAGCTTGTGGCTGTTCTGGCTCTGTGTTGAACAGACTTCACTGATAGGTGCAAGTTGACAGGCAGAACAGCATTTATTCAGCAGTGGAGCATTAAGAGGCACAACTGCAGCAAACCGTAGCTTTGTCTAATACCGGACCAACCAGAAAGATATATGAATCATACACAGTATATTCACTGAAATAACTGATCATAGTTTCAGCTGCGACTGCACATTCTGCCTCATGATACAGACCAGTGTTGACATTTTGTAATATTTATTCATCTTTCCCTGACATTAAAACTCGGTTTAAATTGTCTAACCTGAACCAGACCTTAACCATCATTTATTTAACACACATAGAATCTTCCCATTATTTATGCCCATTATTTTATTGATTTGTCGATTAACTTGACTATAAAATGTCAGTAAATCCTGACAAAATCCTGTCACAATGTCCCAGAGTCTGAGGTGAAATGTATGGATTTGTCTGAACAACAGTCCAAAACACAAATATATATAGAAACAAATCTGCGTTTAAGAAGCTGGAAGAAGTGATTCTTTAAAAAGATCACAATTCATTTTCTGTAGCTCCTTTAATCAATTAATCCCTGCAGCTGTAATCTCAGCAGTGTGTTCTGAATTTGCACCACTTAATATTGATATTCACTTGTCAAGGTCCCATAAGGTAAGCTTGGTCAATAATGATAATAATAATAATAATAATAATAATAATAATAATAATAATAATAATAATACCTTTATTTATGTAGCACCTTTCAAAACAAGTTACAAATAATTTTACACACAATTGAATTAAAGACAAGAACAAACAGTTAATAAAATATTGTGATAAAATTCAATTAAAGTAATAGATGACTTAATAATTCGATCGCTGCAGCCCTAATCAGCTTGTTATCATCGTACAAATACAGCTAAAATCTTCAGTCAAATGCCAACCTGGAGAAACTAAATTCCCGTATTCATGTCCTAACAGAGCTCCCCAAACAGCCCATCAAAAAGCTTCAGTTTATTCAAATTTCAGTTCATAAAGAAAGCCCAACTCCACAGTGTGTTATCATTTATTACCAAATGTGGGAAAATGAATTACATTTTGTGGAGTTATTGCATAATGTGTTGTCAGAAGCCCTCATTGACACCCTGCTTCACGCTCACTATGTTTCCATACATTCCCACAGAAACAGTCGCCTGCTCTCGTCCAGAACTTCCAACGTGCCTCTCTTCCCCACGGCTGCCTCAGTCTGTGCATTGTCAACGATGAATTAACAGCGGCGATTTGCTCTTTTACAGTCTTGTTAATCCTGAATGAAAGACTCAGTGACAGATTAGTGTGTGTGTAGGCTGTTTGTAATTTCCAGAGACCAATAGAGTTTTCTCTTTAAGGGACTTTGAATGACAGACGGCAGGGACGTGGTTTAGTGTGTTTCTGTCTCCTGAGGGAAACTCAGCACAAGGCATTTACATTTGGAGGGAGAGAGAGGGGGAAAGATTAGCTGTTTATTTCAGCAAATGCTCACATTTAACGGGGACACTGTAAATGCCAACAACAGAGGTTGTATAATAGTGTGTTTTTGTGTGTGTGCATGCCTGTTCGTGTGTGTTCTTTTGGTCTTTTATCTGAAGGCAGGCGCATACACTGTGTATCTTGTAATAGGTGTAATTTTATTCCCACAATTTTCTACTCAAAGCAACAAAACAAACACTCCTGTATTTCCGCCCGTTTGTTTTCTGTGAAATGAAAGGTATGCTGAATGAAAAGCTGTTCACGTGGACAATACAAGGCTTAGCACAGAATTTAATTGTCAAATTAATTGCAAAAACATTAATAATAATAATAATAATAATAATAATAATAATAATAATAATAATGGCCTTGCAGCCAGCACACAATAACATTCAGGTTTTCATAAAATCTCTGCAGTACGAAGGACCCACAGCCTGCAAGCTGTTTGTGCATCCAAACATGAAGCTGAAGGCATCAGTAAGTGTCATCTGGGTGTAGTTTTTCTTCTTTGATCAGCTCACTTGGGCTCATTCTTACCTTGAGTCCATAGCATATAATAACAATAATAATAATAATAATAATAATAATAATAATCCAGTGCCTCTTAAATCATTACCGTTCCTTTGTGTTAGTGCTTCGTGCCATTTTAAATAAAAAATGTATATAGATGTTGCGATGATGTCGTTATTGTTAATGTTTTTGCTGCTGTTCTGGAAAGCTTTAAATCTAACTGTGTTTGTTGCTTGAGGAAAGATCATAAAGGGGTAACCTCTGGGGAGCATGAATGTTTTCAGCAAATTTTAGTGAAACCTGTCCATTACCTGTCTGGTGACGCTGGATGACAGCTGACCCCGACGGACGGATTATAATGGAAAAGCTTCATCCTCTGAGGAGCATGAATGCATTCAGGTAATTCAATAACAGTCGGTCCGTTAAGTTGGACGTTTTGACATTATGGAGGTGCTAAACTAAGTAATATGGGTTCATTGAAATCATTGGGATGCATTATCTGGTGACCATGAATAACAATAACACATTTAATAGAAATTTGTTCATTAATTTTAGATCTGTTGAGTAAAAGTTTCAGTTGGACCTAAAGGTTAATCCTCTGGGTTGAAATATATTCAGTAAATCTCACAGCAAAGCCTTTTTGGTCGTAATTCTGACCTGATAGGGGTGTAAGACTAGAGGCCTGAGTCATTAGGGATCATCCTCTGGGGACCACAGTCATCTTAAAATTCATATAATACCATTTTCAAAGCAATTATGAGTAACAAGGCAGATTTTGCTGCATCCAAACCCTTGAACTGAAGCCATCAGTCAACAGTGGAGGCATGGAGTGTAGGATGTGGGCAGATGATGGGTTTGGGTCGGACTGTGTGTGTGGGTGTGCGTGTTTCCGTGTTGGTCCCTGTACTTTGTGAGCAGGGGTGGGACCCTCAGCTGCACTGGGACACAGCCAGGAGGCAAAATCACAGACATTTGAACCGAAAATGAAGGCAGAAAGAAGGAAAGGGCGGGAAGAAAGTGAAGTGGATGGAGGGGTCTGGAAGAGGGTGACAGAGGAAGAACAGAGGAGATTGACAGATGATGAAGGAGGGAAGGCAAGGCAGTGATTTAAAAGGACACAAAAAATATAGCTGTGAGATGCAGGCAGCATACAATGAGGAAAGAGGACATGTCTCATTTCGTCACCTTAAAATGCATCTTCCACTCACTACATCCTGTCCAATTGTATTCAACATAATGGCAAAATGAGCCGACTTCTCACTTGATTTATTAGCTCAGTAAAGAGTTACCTAATGAGTTTATGGTCTCAGTCAAAGTTTCAAGTCTTCTTCCATTCATATATTCATATATTCATACAGTAAATGATGGTTCCAATTTATAGTAAAATAGCCGATAAAGTAGGGTATGGTTTAGGATGATTGTCATTAATTCATTCTCAGTGAGTCCGTCCATATGAGAAAGACTGTGACCAGGCGGGATGCCATTTTTTCCTGCTTGAAAAAGGAGCCAGAACCAAACACAGCCTAATTCGCAGTACGTCACCCACCAGCTCCACACTTCACTGCTGGCTCCAAAACACCAAGAAGCCTTTTCTATAGTACTTGTGTGCCTGTGTTTCCACAGTGGCATTTAGAAAACAATGCAACATTAGTGGTGGTCACAAACACTTAGAACACATTACCGGTGTCCTCAAGTGTATCTGTGTAAGTGAGGGTGTTGTGTGTTTTTCCTTTTAAATAATTAAAAAGGGAGAAATATAAAATTTAAAAGGAACAACCGGGGGCACCCCCCCCCCCCCCCTGAGGTTTTAAAATTAGAGCAGGTTTGGGTTTTTTTTTGGCCCTCCCCCCCCCCCCCCCCCCCCCCCCCTCTTTTTTTTTTTCTCTTACATTTTTTACACTTTAAAAACTAAACACTTTTTAATATTTTAAATTCCCTTTTTTTTTTCTTCCCCCCCCCCCCTCCCCCTCCTTTTTCTTTTTTTTAAATAAAAAAAAAAAAAAAAAAACATATAATTTTTTTTTTTTTATAATAAAAAAAAAAAAATAAAATAAAATTAAAAAAAAAAAAAAAAAAAAAAAAAAAAAAAAAAAAACGTGAGGTGTAGAGATACTTTCTTTCTCTATTGAATTTAAATCTGACCGCAGCAGTAGCACCAGACAAAGTGGCAAGTTAAAATGATCATTAATACCAGTAACATTATTAAACTGTTGAGGGAACGAGTGTGATGGCAGGAGCTCAGTCAGTAGGGACTTTGCGTGGGAACACGGTTCAAGTCCAGCCTGGACCACAGTATGGAGCGTGGATTGGTAATTGGGGAGGTACCAGTTCACCTCCAGGGCACTGCTGAGGTGCCCTTGAGCAATGCTCCTAGGGCAACGATACGTGGCATCATTCCATCATCTCTCCACTTTTTAAAAACATAATTTGTTGGCCTTTTATTGCCTGTATTGGATAGTGACAGCTGAAGAGTGGCAGGAAGGAAGGGAGGGAGGGGGATGACATGCAGCAAAGGCGTTGGAATCAAACCTGGGCCGCTGCGGCAAGGTCCCAGCCTCGCGCTCGCTCCACCACATGAGCCACCAGGGCACCCCAACATTTGTATGTCTATAGGCACTGTGTGTGTGTGTGTGTGTGTGTGTGTGTGTGTGTGTGTGTGTGTGATTATATTTAAATTTAATAAAATACCTGTGAAAAGGGTGGTTGGGGGTTAACAAAGTAAACCTATCTAATATAATCAACAAATTAAGTGCAATATACAAAGTGTTCGTTAATATTAAAGATATTATATTTGCCATTGAATTGCAGATCTCCTTGGCCACTGCAGTGGGCTACCAACCTGAATGCAGAGACAGGAGCTGTGTGTTGTGAAACGCTGCCATCTAGTGGCCGATGCGCAGTATGACAGACAGAGTTTAGGTGAAAGCAACAGAGCTTCGGGTTCACTGTAGCTATGTGACAGTGGCCTCAGACTGTTATCAGCAGTGTGCAGGCAGAGGGCCAACATCAGGCCGACGCCCAGGTCTTCCCACCAGGATCATCATCTCCTTCACATAACATGTGTAAACAACACCAAGTGTTTATCTGGCAACAACTCAGTATCTTTATGCTGCAACTGACATATAACAGGCAGTCACATGACAAGCAGTCACATGAGTCGCATATTATTCTGGGAAGAGCAGATTCAGAGAAGCAGAGGGACCACTGATGTGTTTAAAAGCTTTATTTATTTACAATAAGACACTTCTGGCTCTCCACCTGGAATGGCAGTTAACATATTTACATATTTAACTATTTACATGAGAAGAAAGCTATTTAAAATATAACTATTAGGCAGGTAAAGGCATTTCTTTAAAGGTATTTGCTCTAAGATGAGAAATATCCACTTTGTGACTGCTGGTTTACGTCGATAATGATTCCGTCTTAAAACCCCCGACCTTCTGGTTCAGGAAAGTCCTAACATGACTCCGTTTAAATGTTAATACAAACTGTTCTTTATACATGAAAGTGATCCTTATCAGGTAGTTCTTAGGTAGATATCTCATATTAGAAAAACTTGTGCGTCATTAGCTGTAAATATAACTGTTGAGATGTTAGTGATTGTACAATAATGCTGCAGACTTAATGTATAAAGCAACTGTGTAACTGCGCTGCAATGGCTCATATTCAATTCATGCATTTTAACTGCATTATGGGAAGAAGAAGGTTAATGTGAAGTTACAATTAACTTGTAAAAGTCACTTTTCTTAATATAAGAAACACACAAAGATAATATGTACGAGTAGACGGTAACACAGGATGCACATATTGTCCACGATGTGCAACGGAAGGCAACAGTTCATGTTGTGAATGAATGGATTAGTCATTTTCAACACCTCATAATGCTTGAGAGCAGTTCACTCACTGCAAACAGCAATTTGAATCTAAAAAATGTTCTAAAACTTTGAAATGTGTCACTGCACTAATTACGTGTAAAATCATTTAAGTTCCATATTTTCCAACCATGTGCAAACAAACATCCTTTAAAAATTCAGCTCTTCGTATTTCTTCATTGTCCTCAGATGAAAGTGCACAGCTCCCTTCTTACTGATAAATGTGTCCACACGTTGACAAAAGTATTGATTTGGTGATTTGCAGGTCACAAGACATCAGTTTAAAACTAATAAATGTTTTTTTTTTTTAGATGTGTAGGTTACATATGGACAGCAATGACACCTACAGGGATAAATAAAGTTGTACTGAAGCATTTAAATGTCTGTATCACATGTTCAAATTATGACTTATATATAGTCTAAAAACTCACTTTTTAAACCAAATTCCTTCTGGTCTAAACCTCAACGTCTAGAAACCTCAAAATCACCAAATGAGTGCCAACAGTCTGATGCTGTGTAACAACACAGTGTTATTGTGCACTTCTTTGTCTCAGGGTCAGAGGAAGCTCCACGAAAAAGCTGCATGTGTGCGTCGAGCAGAGTTTCGTTTCCAAACTGAAACGATGTCATCCCCCAAAAACTACCGTAAGAGGAACACACACAGTTCTTTGGTCAATGTGCTTTAGGAATACACAGCATTGACACCAGAGTCATCCATTTGGCCCATTTGTTATGTTAATAATTTCAGTATTTGCTATGTTAGAAAGAATTATTTTTAGGATATTTAGCAATATTTAGCTTACAAACATGAAAAGCTTTAATTTTGCTACAAAGCAATATTGTCTTCTGACAGCAAACTCACTGACAATGACATTAAATATTCAGTTTCCTTGCGTCTGATTTAAAGCTAGTTAGCAGCAGCGAAAGCTAACATGTTAGCATAAAACGTGCTATAAAGGACGTCCAGCAGTCTGGGATTTAGCTTAGTTTTAGCATTAACACACGAGATTAGTGCGCTAAGGGCACTGAAGCCAAGGCTCTGCCCAGGAACACGTGGATGACTTTGGTGTCCTAATTCTTATTATTTAAAGGGACAACCTCCCAAAACTAAAAGTGCTAGTTTAAAAGATCACTGATCAACCAATGAGTGGCTGGAGCATCAGCAATCACGTCACAGCCGAGTATTCGAAGGCTCTGCTGTGTCTAGTGCTACTACAAACTGCCACCAATGTCTCATTTAAAGGAGCTGGGGTTCATTTGCCAAAAATACTGTGTGTGATTCCTTTTACCCCCCAAATGCCTCTTTTGTCCTAGAGACTCCTGAAGAACTGCAGGGAGAGTTCGTAGGTCAGGAACATGGTGGCGCTCATCGGAAAGCCTCGAATGGCGTTGACTGACGCTCCGCGGAAGAAAACCTGCACACAAGAACGTTCGGTTTTAGTGACTTCACCTTCGTTTTTCAGCATGAGTAAAAAGAAAATGACCCAGAGCCTGGATTGTGCTATCAACCAACGGAGTTTAACTTTAACCTGAAAGATGGTTTGGCATTAACGTTAATCTGCTGCTGGCGAGGTCAAACTGGCCGTCAGTGCTGACAGAAAATGCAATCACCTTTAATGCAATAGACCTATTTCACAGCAGCCATTTGAGATTGAATAGTTGGGTAAACACAGGGGTTACCAATGATATTTAGTTAGTTTAAATTTAGTATATTTTTATAAGTTTCTTGTAAGTCAGTTTAGTCATTTTCTTTTCCATTTTCTGTCTCTGCAGCTTCCAACAGCGCCGTGTTGAAGTTTATGTTCATTATCTTGATTAACTTGTTTGTTTGTTGGATCTTCTTGAATTGAACCTTTAGCAGTTTTCATAGGATTGTATTTATGTATAGCTTTACTGCAGTTATGCTGTACACCTGCTCAGTCTCACCCTGTCCTGTCATAACCCGACTCATCGATCTGTGACCATCGGGTCCACCAATGACCTTCTGCTATTGATCACATGACTGTGGTTGTTTGTCAGAACAGTTACTGAAGTCTACATGTTGTAACCTTTGCAATCCGAACATTATGACACCTGAACGCTGCGTTTGTTGATTTCAGGCCAGGAAGGTGGCCATGTTGCAACTGTTCACCAGAAGTGACCCCCCCAAAAGCTGCTTCTTTTGTGATTTCTGCTGATTCATCAAAAACATTTTATAGCTGCTGTTTCGTCACCTTCTATTTGCAGAATGACTCAAACTGAAATCAATCTGATCATCAGTTACTGTCTGATCAGTGTTCGCAGTGTCAGGCGTTTGTTTTTCACATGCCCTGTGATGCCCTGCCGGCTGCTGATGTTGTAACATGATCGGGATGCTGAGCTTTCATTCAGCAACAGAATCACGTGTCCCGGCACACTTAAGGGGATTCAAGTTCTGAGAACACAGTTTGACTCTCATCTGGGTTGTACTGTGTTCTCAGGTTTCACCTCTAAGTGACTGAACCATCTGTTTAGTTTATAGCAACTAACTTATTAATAGCAATCTGGGACAGGATTTATAGCCGGTTTAACAATTGTAATAAAAATGAGGCGCTGCAGAATCTTTCTAGGTAAACAAACATATTAACTGGAAGAATAAGTGAGCAGTATAAAGTGCTGCAGGGTTTCCCAGGATGAGGATGAGGGCGATATTAAAACCAAATCAAGGTCTGTGTGTTGTATGGGCCCCGACTGATTTATCGGTCAACAAAGAGACCAACCAGCATTTCTAACATCTGCTCCAGGGGTTTTTCCAAAGGTTAGCTGAGGCAATAAGCCACCTATACTAACACATCTCATGAGCACTTCAGCTGGTAGATGATATTTATGAGATAAATATGGCATTTATTTTCTGTGTGAAATACCCACTTAACCCACTGTAAAACACTGCAGGATGTAACATAGAGAATAATTATCACTGTCTTTAAGCATTTACAGCTCTAACATGTTGGAAGTTGGAAGCGACACTGAGATGATGAATTAATCAGTGAACCTAAATTGCAAGGTACGATGCTAATATCTGCATCTGATTTTTTTATGAGTTCACTTTAGTTTCTTATCCATCAAACATTTAATGTTTTATTTTTAACAAAACTTCCTTTCCTTATTCAGGCTTTTTGTTGCTGACTGCCCCTCCCCAGCTCTCAAATATGCAGGGAAAAGTCTTTAATTTAAAATTAATACCTTCCCTCTCGATACAATCTTGGAGTTTGTAATAAACATTTTAAGGATTGTATTATATTTCTGCTCTAACTCCTCTTTGAGGACGTCGCCGCTCACCTGCGCTCCCTCTGTTTTGTAGCTGTGGATGATGCAGTGTAAGATTCCCTTGTACTTCCTCTGCAGCTGGGCATCGGCCTGCATTCGACTCTTCACCACATCAGCTGGTGTGGCCGTGACCCAGGAAATGGACCCTGAAGTGGAGGAGAACAAACTTAAAGCTCCAGCTAAACGTGGACATTTTTCAACAATCCAACAAACCAAATGAAGCTGTGACGCTGGATTACTGTGTACGGTAGATAGAATTACATTTGGACAGACTGAGCAGGACCACTGATACACACTCAAAGGTTGGACATTTAAACGTTGGCGGTATAATCACAGTCTAACCTCACAGAGACCAAAACTAACTAGGCTAAAACTAATGATGCATTCAAGTGCTTCTTAGAAAACTTGTTAAGTCAATTATTGATTCAGACAGCCACCAAGTGGAAAGTTCCGGTAGTGAAGTGGAAGCCACACCAGCAGTAGCAAGTTGCACCTCAGCTGATACATTTTATAACAGAAAGTATCTTTACCGGGCAATCAGAATGAATAAAGTCATAAAAAAACTATTATTTGGAGGAAATCGGCCATGTGGATTGGCTTTAAAGGTGACAGACAAAGGTCATGACTGAAAGGGTGGAAGCAGTTGTGGTGATTCAATCACTGCAGGCCCCATTATAAAGGAATATGATAGGCTGTTTATGAGTCAGGGCATATTCATCATGTGCTTTTTTATTCTCTTATTGCTATTGATGAAGTGTCTATTCAGCTCAGATCAGATATATACTGCTGTTGGCCTCATTCCTTCCCTTCGGTTGGCCCACAGGGTGGCTATTTGACATCCTGGTAATGAGACTCAAACGGTCTTTGTTTTGTGATGTGAAATCACCTGTCACGGGTACGGGTGCAAGAAAATATCAAAAATGTTGTATTTACGATATTGTATTGATTCTCAAAGACACTGTATAAAGTTTTGTGTTTAAAGCCCGGCTGTGATGTTGGATGTTACAGGGACTGGGATAAATACAAATGCAGATCCCCCTGTTTTCGTTGCATAACTGCCCTTAAACCCAAGTGCTGCATTCCCATCGGAGATTTTAAAACTTTATTATCTGCTGTTTTCTGTGATTCTTTCCGCTGTTCTTATTCCTTCTCTATTGTGTGATTGTGTTTTTGTGACTGCTTATCATTTTCAGATCTCTCTTGGGATCTAACTGAGACTGCCAGATTAAAAAAAAAGAAAGTAAACTTTTTTTTTTTTTTACCTCTGATTGTATGCATCTGGTGGTGTGTCTGTCTTTCCTAATGTTACATATTTGTAAAAATCGAGTTATACTGTTCACATTCAGGCCTACTAGATAAGTGAACATCCAGACCTCACTGATTTATGACTCACAGCTGATTTCATTCTGCCACGTTTTGATTCACATGTTCATACTGTAGGTGGCCAGCCTGCATCTGGAAGCAAGTCTGCTCGAACGTCTGAGACCAACTAAATCCCAAATCGGAGTCCACAGGCCCTTCACTGTTTATCCACTGCACACACAGCTCACATTCACTTGGCCTGAACTGCTGGGTCGGCTATAAGTTTACACCCGCCCCCTGATCCACACATCAGAGCAGCCAAGAGTTTTTTTTTTTCTAAAATCATAAATGTTCAAGACAAACACATTTAACTACTTTGAAGCTTGGGTTGTAATGTTTTCATGCATTAGTAGATTGTATATTCTTCATGATTTCTGTCATTAACTTGCTGTCCATTGTGACGGCATCACCTGGGATTTTGGGAGTTTATATTTTACCAGACACACCATCAAGGGAAATATCATCCATTGTTTGAATGTCCAATAGCCCGTAATTGTCTCATCAACTAAAACGTCATAGTTTTTCTTATCAAAGATCAACTTTTAGCTCGTCAATGTATCGTCTTAGTCATGGAAAAAAGGTTGCTTAAGAATATTTTTCACCATAGTTCTCATGAATGAACACTGTTGTGGATGGTATGCGTCTTTCTGCTCACTAAATTCTCCTCATTTGGTCAACTTCCCACCCCATCTCTGCCAACACAGTAAGATATAAGCTCAGATAACTGCCCAACCTCAACAAATGTTATTGATTCTGAACATGCATTCATGCATCTGACGACCCACTCTGTGAATACCAGCATCAGCTCCTCCAACATCAGGCACTGGAACGAACAGAAATCAGCCTAATATACCGTTCATCTACAGCGCTGCATTGCTTACCTGCTAGTCCTCCAGCCAGCCAGATGGAACAAGGATGAGGGCTTGATGTGGCGTCTGGTTTCAGCAGGTTGCAGAAGATGGTGTAAGGGATGAAGTAGAGGGTGTATCCAGGAACGTCCCTGAGGATCATGGCCCCGGCCCCCCTGTACAGGCCCTGCAGGCCCTCGGTCTGCAGGATGCTGCTGATGCAGTGGAGGGGGCCTCGGTACAGTCTCTGGCTGGGGATGCTGACGGAGCGCAGAGGGATGTTGGTGCCATTCGATACGTTGCCGGCAAGGTGTAAGTTCTCTGTAGGAAAGGAATTGTGATTGGCAGGTCACGCAGTGTTCAAATATACAATCAACAACGTATTTCCTGCGACTGCTGTAGAAATGGGTCCGTTTCCTCTCTTTCTGATGGAGTTCTGCCAGTATGATTGTCAAAAATCAGCGGAAACAGGCAGCTCTGGAAAGAACGGCTTTGAATTACTGACTCACTTTTGATTAGGTTTTAACTTACTAAAACATTTTTTCATCAAACTCTTATAAAACCATGGCAACAACTATTTTGAAAAGCTCTTCAGATGTTTTATAGAAGAAAGGTTGTGTACTTTGGTGTTTCTTTGGCTAGCGAAAAACCTGGACCTTGGACAAATTGGAAATTGGTAAGTTTCCACAGAGATGGTCTAAAAACATACATCTGACTCTTAAGAACCTTGGTGTACCCATTGACCTACTGTAAGTTGTTATTGTCCTCAAAAAAAAAATCATATTGCTCTCTTTACAATCGTGTACTTTCAGGTCCAGACCAATTCAGATCACGTGGAAGTCTGCATACCAGACATTCAAGCTCCTGCCGGACACTTTCTGGCACTTTGTACCATCATAAAAGAGTCTGTATCTATGAAAAGGAAGTCAATGAAACAAATGTAAAGCGTGACATGATAACAGGTGTGAAGGGTGTTAGCTCGTGAGACAACGTAAAAAATGAAAGGCTATAAAAGTTCCACGTGCTATATTCTAATTAAACTTATCTGACCTCAGTTTTATTGGTTTATGGTTTAACGAAAGACGCAGCCCAGACAACACAATCTCACCCAGAGCGTAACCGTCCAGTATCGGAAACCCTATAACTAAATTTTTACTCGGCTCCTCATCTCCATTCAGCATTTGCACTTCAAGCTTATCAACCAATTTTAACATGCCTTACTGCTCCCATTTCAACGGCCACTCTGACTTTATTCAGAGCTTCAATTTCAATGTCTTTGTTTTTGGTAAAAGGCTTTAGGTAAAACTGTCAACTAGAATTGGTTGACAATGTAAAATTATTTAACATAAATGTTTTAGAAAGCCGCCTTCTGGGAACCTAGAAAAGGTATATTTTCATTCCCCAGCACAGAACTTCCCTCTATCAGCCGCCATATTGGTCGTAGATGAATGGTATCGATCTATGGTATCCCATAACGGTCAGGCTTTACTTGCACTCTACTGACATATAAATAGATACAACACATACGAAATGCCCCAAAGATTCACTTTAAGACATTATCTTTTACATAACAAGTTTGTATTTTCTTTTACTGTAGATACTGTAGCATTTTCTAGTTTCTCATATTTACTTGAGTTTAAACATAACACTAAATATCCATATCTGATAACTCCATTCATTGGTAGATTAAACCGGTAGAATACTGCATCATAAAAAGCTGCAGCGTGTTTGGAACAGTGAGCAGACTGACTGAGGTAAAGGCTGCAGGAGTGGTTTGATACGTTTCTGTGGATCTTTTGATGCTCTTTTCTGACCCTTTGTCTGTGCTGAGCAATGCTCACCACTGGAGAACTGGAATTGTTTCTGAAGGACCACAGCAGGAGGACACGGCTACACGTGTTATTTACTAAAGGGATGTTATTTATTGTCACAAGAACTGAAACGACTTTAAAATGTTTCCAGATCACGAACTTGGAGCAGTGATATTTGTTCTGTCTCCTCTCAGCACTGGGTTGTGGTGGTATATTGTCATGACAATGAACCGCTTCATAAAGCCTGCGCTGTGATTGGCTAACTGACGACGACAGGACACCACCCATCAAGTCTGTTTCTTCACACAGAGCTTCTCTCTGCGCTGTCCTAATGTGATGCATTTTTCTTTCTTCTTTTAAGTTTAAGAAGACAAATGAAGACCATGTGTGGCAGACTTGGGAAGGCGTTGACAAAACTATTGTTTATCTGCATCTATGTCGACTACGTTCCTAGAAAACCAGAGAAAAAGTTCAAAAACACAGTTTTTGTTCTTTCTGCTGCCCACAGGGAAAAACAAAACTCCCAAGCCAACACACAAACAAACTCTGATTTACCTGCGAGAACCGTCTGCGTCTGCATTTGCAGTCTGATCTTGACCAGATCCACCGGGGCTCCCAGGCCCACTGACATCAGTCCAGTCAGCATGCTGGCCACAGTCAGGTCCAGCATGCCGCAGGGATGCCGCCCGTCGCCATAGCGATACTTGCTTATAAGTCTCTGTGTGTTGCTGAAGAAGCCAAACACCACTGAGTTGTAGACGGTGATGCTGGCCAGCGGGAAAGACATGCCCTTAAAGAAGCCCATGACCTGAGAGACAGACAGACAGTGACTGTAAGTCGACAGTTCCAGACCCCCGCAGCCCTGTCCGATGAACTCAAGTAACCCGTCGTCAACACCGCCATCTATGTTTCCAATGTGTTCATCTGAATACATTTCAAACTGGGTGCCATTTGACTATTACAGTATTTTCATACAGTTGAACTGTCAGTGTTTAGTTCAGTTTAGGTTTGCATTCGTACTTCAACCATATAAAACAATCTGTATCATTTGTTCTTTTTCATGATCAATATATATGTAACTAACTCATTTTTGCTGTTTACCATTGCATGACAACTAATTAATCACTGAATTATTTTGATACAGAAGAAGAAATCTTAAAAACCAGAGGATACTTCCCCACATTCTCTCCATGTACAGCAGAAGGACCCCCTGGGGTATAAAAGTACCCCTGGTTGGGAGTCACTGCTGTAAGTGATTACTGATCCAACACAAACAAAAAACACATTCCTTAGCGGTAAAAGGAAGTAAAGCTGTAAAACCCCAGAGGCATACTCAAATTATATTGGTCACTGCCAGCAATGCACAGAATAAAAAATGGGGTGAAGAGGCTGCCAAATGTTTTGAGCCTTTTTTGTTTGGAAGGGGGGGGGGCATGAATAATGGCAGACACATGTTGAAACTTAAACACAGCTGTCCACCGCTTGAACAAATCATCTGACCGCTGACAAAACCAGGTTTGTGGTTTCTGAGAGGGAGTGCATGGCTGAAACAAACATGTTTAATGCCGTAAGCAGCATTACAATGAACAAAATATGTGAACATATTCTTTCAACCTTTTTTTCCCACAGTTCTCACAAATTGAACACACATTGAATCAGAGCTGTTATACTTCATATTACACAAAAGATCAGGCCATCCTTGATCATCATTTTAAGCTTCAACTCATCTCAACTCAACTCAACTCAACTCAACTCAACTCATCTCAACTCATCTCATCTCAACTCATCTCAACTCAGTGATAAAAAAATGAAGAAAACCCGCAGAAACTTGGTCACTGAAGCACTGAAGTGGAACAGATTCAAGCTGAATCAAATGGAAGTAGAAACATAGGCAACCAACAATTTCAGTGTTCGGCTGAGTGAAATACGTATGGAGGAAACAAACGACTCCACCGTCTTAAGAAGTTTGAGTGTTTACCGTTTCCTTCCTGTAGATGGTGAGGACGCAGTGAAGAGTGCTCTTGTAGCCTTTCCCCGCCTGGAGCCGCGTCTGGACAGAAAACAAACCGTTTCATACAAAGTTCAATAAAATGCAACAGAATGAAAAGACTGATACATCTCTGGGGGTTTTCTGTCTTCGATAAATATCTCCTGTTCTACTGTAAGAAATGGTAAAATAAGAGTACCTTTTATTCTGTGCCTAGCATTAAACAATCATTATTCTGTTAGCATTATGCTAACAGTGCCAGCTAATTAAATGGAGATTCAAAAGCTAGCAGAGCAGAAGCTAACCTGGAACTGGGACAGGCCTTCAGCTCTTTATAGACCCGACTCAGAAGATGCTTTTAATACAAATTCAAATACTGCATCAAAATACCCAAACTGCTTCGTACAATATACATATAGCATTTTCAATGTCTTCTTTTCTGCATCAAAGAAATATAGTTCCGATTGTCCGACTAAATAAAGTTTTAAACAGCCTCATAATGACATATTAAACCACAAAGTGCCACAATAAAGATAAGAACTTTTTCTCTTTATACAACCACTTTAATCAGGTCCTAAAGTCTAGGGACGGTGTGGTAAAACCCCGCTGTTGGTCTGAAATACCTTCACTGTGTCCAGCGGATGGCCCACGACCACACTGGAAGCTCCTGCAGCCAAAAGAGAAAAAAAACGAGAAAAAAAAAAACATGAATGCATAAAATACCAGAGGGAGAAAGAGAAAGAGAAATGTTACCATGAAACTGTTGGCGAAGAGGAAAAGGTTCCTCCCTTAAAGTGAAACTTGGCTACAAAAGGTTGAACGAGGAATGAATTTCTCATTTATCCGTCTTATTTCTGACGCTTTTTATTCCTTTTCTTTATCCTAACAGCAACATAGTGGAACTGAATGTCATTCACCCAAAACAGATTGTATCCATAACTTACAGTAACTAACTTCACATTTTCTGACAATGTTCTGGGCTTTTGGTTTGTTTTCGAACTTCAGTTATTACATACACAGATAAAGAAACAGAGATAAGATAATCCTTTATTGATTCCCCAGAGGGGAAACATTTCTGCAAGCATTTCTCAATGAATGTGAAAGGCAAGCACACAGCAAACAGAACATTAACACTCAACATCCGATCTCATGTTCATGCTGAGCCTAGACCGCTAGTCGATTAACTGTTATGGGTAATGGGTTAATTGTTTTGAGTAATTTTTTAAGAAAATAATCTACAAATTTTCTGATTTTGGCATCTCAAATGTGAATATTTTATGGTTTCTTCAGTCCTCTATGACAGTGAGCTGGATATCTTTTGGTTCTGGACAAAACAAGACTTTTGAGGATGTCACATTGGGCTTTAAGGAAACACTGATCAACATTTTTCACCATTTTCTGACACTTTATGGAACAAACATCAACGATTCATCGAGAAAATGACCCACAGATTAATCGACAATGAAAATAATTGTTAGCTGCAGCTCTAGTTGAGACTGAGCTTTAAGTCCTCTAGGGGGCGATGTAGGAAGAGACTGGTAACACTGGACTTCCATCACGGGGCCCCCGGGGACAAAACTAAGCCATTGTATCCTTATTAACCCTCTTTTCCCTCTGCTCTCTGTTCATTGTGCGTGTTTGCCTCCCTCCAATTACCCATCAAGCAGCCAGAACACTACACATGGCAACACATATCTCATCTAGAAACCCAGTGAACAACCAGTACTACCAGGACCCAGGTTTACTGCACTCTTTATTCTTTATTGGGTCCCTATTGGCTTCCACAGAGTGGTAGCTCATCTTACTTGTGTCCTTTCTGTCAACTAGTTAGGCTTTTCCATCAGCACTCAGTTTAAACGTGCCAAGTTGTGCTGAGTCTCGCCCATGATGCACCATCTTCATCGTCAGGCCAAAGCACGCCCGAACACCTCAAAGGGAGTTGTGGCGATGTCTTGCCAACCAACTGTTTCGTAATAAATGTATTTCCCTGCGGGCCATTCGACTGCGGGTTAGGGCTGTGTATCGGCAATAATCTGGCAATACGATACGTATCACGATACGGGGGGGTTACGGTTCAATATATTACCATAGGTTGTAGTATTGTAAGCAAAGGTGATACAGTGAGTTTTTTTAAATTAAAAAAGAAAATTTACAGCCAACATCACACGGTTCAGAGAAGGCAACATTTATTATGAAATTGTGCCTGTTAATGAGGTTTCCTTAAGTCTCTAAATACTTCTGAATATTCTTTAAGTCACAAGAAACCATTTAATCTCTTATGGATTCACTGCACAAGTATTATCTGAAGTTCCTATTTTGTGATATTCTGTTAAACTTGAGTAAGAAATCAGGGAAACTGATACATTTCTGTGCGTTTAAGTCAAAAGTATAAATGCTGGTGATTCGGAGTTATCCGTCAGTCAAACAAAGTCCTGGAGTACAGCAGGGTCCTTAAGGGTCAACAGCACAATAAAGGACATTTGAACTCAACACGACTGTTGTTTTAGTCACTGAAAGACAAAGAAAAAGCCTTTTTTGCATCAGTCGGTAACAGATGAAGTTTTTTAACATTCATCGCAGATCATCATCCTCATTTCTTTCTTTCAACAGCTTAATATATCCGGGGGACTTCTCGTGTTTTTACATTTTTTTTATCTTTTAACTTTTTTTTGGTTCAACTCTTCTCTCATCTGATCTCTACTTGAAACACTTGAAACCTGCTCTCTGAGCTTCTTTCTCATCAGATCTTTTATGAATTACTTGTGTGTAAACTTTCTAATTGAATTCAATTGCAGTGAAAGGAGCTGCAGCCTGTATGAATAAACAGAACAACATGATCCAGGAGGCCTACTTTCTTGTTTATGCAACTGCAAAGGATGCAGCCGCAGCAGCAGCAGCAGCAGCGCCCCTAGCGGCCAGGGCTGACACTTTAAAAAGAGTCGTTGTCTCAATAGAGTTACACGTTTGCACACAATCAGCCCTGCAGCGGCTCCCTGGAGGCCCGCCTGCGACTGATAACACATGTAACACCCGGCTTTATCTTAATCCAGAGGCTGAAACACTGGAGGGGAGAGTGTGGGCATAGGAGGTGGGGGTGGTGGATTTCCCTGCAGACCCTCCATTGTTTACACTGGATGTGGATGCATGGGGAGGAGGAGGAGGAGGAGGAGGAGGGGGGGGTTACACTGTACGAAAATAACTGGCTGTTTCTGAACATTCCTCCATGCAAAGCTGATTTAACCCATACAAACATGCAGCTATAAGGAGCCTTTGAGTGCATGCATGGATCCACCTCCCCCCACCCTAAACCCCCCAACACACTGACCCCGGTGTGGACCCTGGCTAACAGAGGGAGCCCTGGATTAAAAAAAAAACAACTTCTGTGCCACTCACCACCGATCCATCCTGCGACAAAATCATCCAGCAGAAATCTCTTGGAGGTCTGCATCTTGAACCGAGCTCCACTTCCCCGCCTCTCATGCGCAGAAACCGGGACCGCTGCAGGCGCACACACTGCGCTTCTTTCTGATAACACTGCGGAGGAAAGCAAAACTGATCTTATAGAGAATGTGCTCCGATCAGAGACACACACAGCCGGTGGGCACCAGCGACCAATCGGATCCAAATGTGAGTCTGAGGGGGGAGGAGGGGGTGCAGCTCTCCCGGCCAATCAGGTGCGAGCTCTGCGGAGCCACACAGCCTATAGAGACACCGTGATGGAAATGAGCCATGAGGAGGAGAGCACAAACACACACTGTAAAGTTCAGCCTCCCCACAGAGAGAGAGAGAGAGAGGGCACGGTTGACTCACCTCTTAGCATTTAAAGGTATATTTTTGTTTACAGTTTAAGAACCTGCATTTATTTGTGAGAGCATAATACTGAAGAGTCACAAAGGAGATGGACACAAAATACAAGAATAAAAGATTCTTTTAGTAAGGAGTAAAAACCAAATGTACACAATGTACCAAATGTTTTTTGGAGGCAAAAATGTGGAATTTCTCAGTGGATGAAAGGAACGACTTTTCCTTTTGAAAATACATACAATACATTAATTCCCAAAAATAATAAGCCTTAATACGAAAATCTGGAATGCTTTTTTTTTTTTTTATCATTTCTTGGAGCATAATGACATAAAAATGATGAACTGATCTAAACAAAGCTGGTTTCTTTTGTTTTTTTTCCTTTCTATTTATTGTTCATCTCATTGTCTCCTTTCTTGTACACAATGGCAGAAATACCACAGGTTAACTGTATGGATATATATGGAAGTTATATCCATCCAAGTTCTACTGTAAGTCCTGATCGCCACAGGAAGAAAGGATTTCCTGTGACTCATCGTGGTAGTAACAGTCTGCTGCTGAAGGAGCGACCAGCATATCCAGCATTGTGCAACTCGAAGCCCTGCGGGACACCCTGCTGCTAGAACCCAAAGAGAGCAGCACAGACTGGTAGAACATCCTCAGCATGGCACTGCAGAGAGTGGAGTCGGCTCTGGCCTTTGGAAACAGCAGCTAACCAAACAGTCTCACCGTCATTCGGTAGCTAGTTCTCTAGCCTTCAGTCATACATGATCTTCATCATTTCTTCTGCTCCCAAAAACTATGGAAATGTACAGTTCAATGCTACCTGGGAAAAGTCCATCTGCTGATGAAGATTACCTTTTTTATGTTTTGTAAACTGTTTTAAACGTCAGCAATGAACTATGGAGCTCAAATTATTATTTTTTGTACCTCTTTAGACAAAATAAACTTAGACAAGAAAAATAAATCTCATTTGGAATATGAGAATTAGAGGATAAGAAACAGGAAATGGTTTTCCAACTGTATGTGATAGTATTTCTAAGTAAGTAAGTAAAGCTTTATTAAAATCCCTGTGGGGACACGTTGTCCTCTGATTTTGACGCCACCTGACTATTAAGCAGAAACTCCACCTCCGAGGTCAGTGCCTTGGTCAAGGGCAGCGGCAGGAGGATTCCTGATAGCTCACATAATATTTAACATTTAATGCCTAAACCAGAGCAGCTGGAGGGAAACCCCCCCACACACACACACGCACACACACACACACACACACACACAAGAGCAAACAAACAGAAAGAACCCAGTTAGGCATGATGGGATAGCAGAGCGTCCCTCTTGCACATGCTCCTCTCTCTCTTTGTTTAAAGTGTACTGTATATTTTTAGAGTTTGGAGGCAGAGCCTATAATTGTCTGGTTATCTATATTTTTATATTCACATATTTCTTTGTGTTTTTCTCGGTTTGCTTCAAATCTTTTTGTCATCGGCGGACTGATGTCAGATACGTTGATCTTTGTGTGCTTCATACTTTCATTGTAATGAGGATATGAAAAATTTGATGTCTGATCGCTTTTTGATCAATTAATATTTCTCTCCTGAATCACCTGAAAATAAGAATTGTTGTGTTTTGGTTACCTTACAATGAGCTGCTTGAAGGTCACCTTATGTTCTACACGCTTGGAAACCTCTCACATCATTCAATATCTCTCAGTGTATCAGCTAAATGCTGAAACATATTACACAATTTGAGGTTGAATGAGAAGTTTCTATTAACCTCTAAACCACATCCTGTGCAGCCAAACATGTTCAAACCTCAGATCTTTACTTTCATGTCCCAAAATGTGTAAAGAAAGTCTTGATTTTAAATATGTGTATTCTCTAACTCACTAAAACTACACGTCACCAATAAAATCAAATATAATGATTAGAATTCTTCACAAATCTTATTTTTAGTATTATTGTATGACTCTATTTTTAGTTTTTTCAGAATAACTTTTTTTGTTAAAATACACATTTTAGTCCTGTTCCCAGGTTTTCACTCAGTCCTCAACTCTGACACATTCAAGAAATATGGGACATTTCACAAGTCACATGTTTAACAATGTTTATCATTTGAGTCTTCTGAAGGCCACGGGAAGACTAAAAGTAACTTCTCTATTTTCTATATTTCTGATCGTATTGTAAGTTTTCCTGAGAAAGTTGATCTCAGCGCACACTCCTGTTACCTAAATTATAATTTCTTAGATGTTATTATATGTTTTCTGTTTACTTTTTTGTTACAAAAACTGCAAATCCTCCATTTAGAAACATTGTAAACATAAAAAAAGACTGACTGTGATTGACAATTACACAATTTGAATAGTCAAACATATGTTATAGTATACAGTGTGGAAAAAGATAAAGTTGAATTTTTAAAGGTTACAACATGCAATTCGATACAAATGTTGAATAAAATGATTTTCCAACCTTAAAACTACAAAAGAGAAAATAAAAAGGGGGGAACTGGATGTTAAGGGGTTAAGCTGTCTATAAACACATATAGTCTCCATACAGTCATAGATGTTAATGTTTCACAGCCTCCCACTCCTCCACCACTTCCAGAGAAACCCAACCCCACCCTGTGATAGGAGACTGATAATAGACACAACATTTTCACACTTAGTGGAAAATTACCAGAGAAATGCAAGTGGGCTAAACAACAAGTCCTCCCATAGCCATCCCTTCTGTGTCATTATGTTTCTTCTACTGCACATAAAAGTTTCTCCTTTTTCATCTGCTAACAAGCTCATCTGAAGAAATAAACACCGGCTTCATCTACAGAATTTATGCTTTTTTCACCCTTTCTTTAGTGATCTGGGAACTCATTTTAATGTCACCATCTTGCCCAGAGTCCCGGCTCTCTTGGAAAACATTCATTAGAGTCCAAGTTAAAGGTTGTCTGAGGAAACCAAACAGTACCTGAACAGGAAACACATATAATTGTATACCTGTAAATAATTATGTATGTTTAATGCAACACAAATGAATGTCCAAATCACATAACAAAACGCCCCTCTACAAGCTGTTCCCATTCAAAGACTTTTACATGACAAAAGCTGCAGATGGAAACATTTATCAGTTTTCCCGTAAATTTCATCTCTCTTGGATGACTCATTTTCATCTTTATTTGTTGCATTTTACTTTTACTTTTTTACAATTTCAGATACAAATAATATAAAGAAAACCCTTCCAGTCTCATTTTCTTATCTGTAGTGGACACAGTGAAAGATAATAACTGTTGCATTTGTGTTCTCTTGCCTTTAACTGTCCTCTCTCCCTCCAAGTGACTTCAAGAACAGTGATGGAAAAGAAGAACATGAACGGAGAAATGGGTTGCCAATGTCAGTGTATGAGCACAGGTAGAACATTTTAAAACAGCCACTGGTAACATTTACAATTTGATGTCATTTTCAACTTATATGACATTTAATAGTGCAGTTCTGTCAAGATCACAAGTTAATTTATCTCGTTAGCTCAACAAAACAAAAGGCCAATTTCTTGAGAAAACAAGAGAACTCCAAAATGAGTATCTGGTTCATTTGAGAACGCCTGATTTCAGCCTTCAAGATCACTGAAGACTGTTGGCAAAGGATTCATAACTGAACTGAAAAGTTACCAGAATGTACATCTGAGAGTTCATTTAAGCTATTAATTCCCTGACAGTGTGATGTAACATAGACAAAATATATCAGAAGAAAATGATGACCTCATAGATCCTTGCAATGTCCAAATTCTTTTCATGCACTTTTTCTTCTGGCTCAGTGTGAATATTAACAAGTTGCATGTTATTCCTCCATGCATTGTCCATATGTTGAATCAATGCTACATCTATAACACACCATCTCTGCATGCTTCTCCTGATCTTTGATAACATCTTAAGTAATGAGAGGAAATTACTTTTAGTTTTCTTGTGATAACAGGTCGATTTTCTCGTCATCTTGAGATAACAAAATAATACTCATGATCTTGAGACAACGGTATTTCAAAAAAATATTTGCAGCCATGGCCCTTCTAAACTTTTGTAGATTATCATACATGTGTCTCATTACTTTTCTATCTTGTCTGCACTTTCTTTAACCTTTAAAAATCCACCGTTCTTGGGATACTAGCACTGCCTAGAACTTTCACGGACTGATCAGACTCGGCATTGATCTTTGTGGTCACTTTCAAAGAGAGCCGACAATAATCTACGATGCAGAACAAACCTTAAACACATGAGGTTGGCGGGTGTCAAAGGGTTAATTCTAGTGTATAAATAAAAATATACTTACTGGAATCCTAAACCACACGTTTAGTGGGGGTTCCTTACAGTATCAGATCACCACAGCTGATGTGGTTTGCTATACATAGACATGTCAGGCTTCAAGGATCCACCATAAAGACATTTGGAAGTCGGCCTTTAGATAAAAACATCTCCTACGCTCTATCAGTTTGTTGTATTGATTGTTAGCTTGAGCACATGTGACTGTATAGTAATGGAAATGCATCTGCCACTGCAGTTCAGTTAAGGTTAAAGGAGCAGTCCGACATTTTGTCTGAGGTTTCTGTGCGTTTAGCCTAGCTATGATGTTTCTATTTACATCCAATAAACAAGATCAGATATGTAAATTAGAGTTCACTTTTAATGGACCTGGATTAGCAGTTCCCCCTTGAATCCAGTCTTTGTGCTAACTAAGCTAGGCTAAACATGTCCTGGAACTACCTCTGTACTGGACACACAGAGATGAAACCGATATCTGTCTTCTCAAACAAGAGGGTTTCCAAAACATGTTGAGAGTTCCTTTACGTTAGATTATTTGC